TGGATTCTCTTTTGATCGTGCCTCAACGCAATCTAAAGTCCAAGCAGTCATTTCCAGTGATGCTGCCTTTGCGCTGTGTTGGGACGTGTAGTCATGGCCGAGACTGCAATCCCTCGGTGCCCACAGGAGGAGAGCGAAATGGATAGAAGGAAGTAGCAGTATAGTGAAACGTCAAGTCAAACGATTAATGAGTCGAGGGCATCCAGCGATTGGACGAGCACAATAGCAAATGGGGGTTTCCAAGAAAAAGAGAATTACGGTCTCGTGCGTCAGCCTCTGCTGCTACTCCGTGCGCGCGTGTGTGTGGGTTCACGTTAAGGGCCGTCCCCTCGAGGTCATCCAGACAAGAGAAGACCTCTGTTCTTGAAACAGCACTCTCTTTTTGGGCTCAATTAGGGTTCAAATCAAAATAAAGATCCGGCAGGGAAGCAGTCATCCTAGGGCCTCGACCCCCCTCCACTTAGTACAGAGAAGGATAGAATTTAACTTGTCAAATTCAAATAGATTCCCCCTTTATCCAATAACTGTACAAACAAATATTATATGCATATCGTTTAATTATTTTATTACGGCCTATTACGCCGCCATATAATATCTGGAAAGTATTTTACAGCAGCTTGTAGATTCTAATGTTTCAGTTATTCCATTTATCCCAAATAAAATGATTTAGTGCTGCTCTTTTTTTTTTACCTCATTTTTCTACCCATGAGTGCACTGAACCGTGCTAAACGGCACGAGACGCTGCACCTTGAAATTAAATGCTGTCAAAGGTTATCCAAACTTTCCGCAATGGCTCAGATATTCCTGATAATAAGCATGTTTATCTGAAGCTGTGCACTTCATGGCTTTATTAAGCCCTACTACACATGGTTTTCCATACATGTTTTGGAGTTGATCTGCAAAGATTCAGGACGTATCTAAATAAAGCTGTTTCAGCATTGGGTATCTGAGTTGTAGATATATAAATTTAAACGAATAAAGGTAAATAATGGGCTGGTGTAATAGAACTGGATTAGTTTGAATTTGCCATTTACAAAACAAAGTTCAGTGCTTTCAAGGATTGGACTTCATCTTGCAGATTAAGAAAGGCTCATCAGTATTGGATCATCTGAAACATATAAACGAGTGCTGACGGGCGTTTTTACCCTTTTCGTTAAAATGGCAAGACATTTGAGCTTTTATTTCCCTCAATGGAGTCAGCGGTGTTGACCTTTAACTCCAGACCTCTCTCTCTGTCTCTAAGTCTCTCTCACCCTCTCTCTCTCTCTCTTTCTTTGCCCCCCTTAAGGCAAGACTTGCCCTTTGACAGAGGATCGGCGGAACTGCCGCTCCTCAACCTAACACTAAGAGTAGACAACAGTAACGTGAACTGTGTGTCCAAGAGCTGATTCTTGCACCTGTCTTATAACATGGAGTGGGCTTCAAGCACTTCATATGTGGCTGATTTGATTTGTGTTTCACCGTCTTTCTTATGAGGTCACAAAGCACACTTCATTTCGTAGTCACGACTTGAAATTTTAAATTAGCCTCAGGTGCGTAAATTGTATGAGATTTAGTAAAAGAAATTTCAAAAATATTAGCAAAAGAAATTAATAATAGTATTTTATTACAGTGAAGAGAGAAGGCTAAAAAAAAATCTTCAAATTTTTTAAAAATGATGTAATTGTGCAGTCATTTAAGTAGAAACTTGGACTAGTTTATGTTGTTTATTGTTGCATTGTTTTTGCTTGTTTCTTAGGTAGTAGACGTATGAAGATGTTTATACTTGGAAGTGATCATGTTAAACAAATTCCTCAAATGCATGATAACGTCTTCATTTATCAGCTTATGACTTATGCTTCGTCAAACGCACACACAGGATTCCCCTACACTTCTTATTAAAGCGGTCATTGTGTTTGTATAGTTTCATGTTTTTACCTCCGTCTACAACTATAATCCCACATTCTAGTAAGTATTTCATATGTTTCTTTAACCGTGTTGCTGTAAAAATGATGGATTTGAGTTTGTCAAAATCCCACATCAGATCACGTTTCTCTGTGTACACCACGCCGTCTGAATGATGTGGCACCCCAGCCAGCACCCCTGCTCTGGGGGCCGACAGC